CCTTAACCAGTTTTATTTTGTGAGTAAAAGTTCTAAATGAGTGCACCTATGCAAAGTGTATAAGTACTTTTGATATAGGTTACCGTACTATACCTTGAACTACTGCCTGACAAATGCATTCGTGTTATAATTTATTTTTTTCATTTATGATTTGACTCTTATAAACTTGAAGAAAGAATACTATTTCTTATAATCCTAGGTTATTTGTATGCGGAAATCAGCTTGTTTAGGCTAAACACTCAGTGAATGATGTTCATTTATTTATTGAGTTGTATCCGAAAGGTCTTGAAGAAATTGTTATTGTTCGGGTCCGACACGTAAGCAATTCCCTGAGAACACAGTTGGCTAATCTAATTCCGAGCGTGTAATATTTGCTTCGGATATTATAGACAAAGCTAAATTTGATCAGTGCTTACGACGCAAACATATTATTTTGAATGGTCATGCATTGTTTTTGTATTAGAAAAGGAAGAAAGAATTATGATTTAGTATAGGCAAAATTAAGGAGATGATTTATACGAGGGATATATGAAATAAATCAACTATTAAAACTAAACGATCTGATATCAAAAACGTCCAACTTTGAAACTTGACTTCATTACGCTGCAACAGAGGCAGCAACATCTTATTAAGATATTCTTCTTAAAGTTAGACAAGCTGTCTTCACCACAAACATCTCTTTAAGCATTTTCTATTTAAGCAAAGAAACTTTATGATACAATTAAAGCATTATTAAGGTTATTTAATACTGTATTTTATTTTATATAATTATTTATAGTCTATTATTTTTGTAAATTAATTTGATTTTATTTTGATTTGATTAATTAATCAAATCAAAATAAAATCAAATCAAATTAATGTATGTTTGCTGCTGCCCAAATATTTGCTTAGAAGTGTCATTATTATAATGAAGTCGAAAGGACATGACATAATGCTTAAATTTATTCGTTTCAGGACATAGGTATATTACGGCATATTACATGTGAAAAGTTAAACTTAACTGGGGCTAAAAGTTATGATATCTTTTTATTACTTTCTCGACGTTTCGATTAAAGCACCATTGTGGTCAAACGATGTCTGATGAGAGCTTATCAACGCCTTCATAAGCTGCAGATTTCAGTAACTACCCCGTCTTTATCCTCATTTTATTTATGTTATTGGTATTTTAGAAAACTATAGATACTTATGAAATCTACCGCTTTATATTTTCTAAGTTTCCGAAGAAACTATTGTGTGATCCGTTTTTACTTTTAAAAAGACAATTCTTGCACTAGGAATATATCCTGTGTCACGGGGGACTTTAGAAACATTCATGAAACGGACACAAAGAACACCCGGACTCAGAACAACAATATGTGGATCACACAAAGTGTTGTCCCATGTGGGGATCGAAACCACAACGCTTAGCGCAGTAGAAAGCGGTGAGGTGACCCCTTACACCATTACGCCATCCGTGCAGTCGTGTGATGTTAATCAGAAAAGAAACATATTTACTTTATAGTCCTTTACTTCTTTGTCTACTTTACTCCACGAAGCAATAACATCTTAAGAGAGGAAAAATTAAGGATACTACTTAGATATACTGTATCGGTGTGGGTTGCAATCCAGTGGAAGTTGAGGCGTTCAGTGAAGTCAGTTACAAATAGGAAGTAATAAAACCCCGGCGTCGACATTTAAGGCAACAGTTTCTAAATATAATGTATTGTTTATTACGACAATTCTACCAGCTAACATAAACAGGGGCTGATGAAGTCTGAAATCTAACCTCATATTCTGAAATTTTGTCTTGGAAAGCATTAGAATACAAAATCGACCGGTTTATTTAATCCATTTACGTGATCGATGAACTAATCGATTGTACCCTATCGAAATATGCAATACTTATCGACAGCTCTAGAAACGAATAAAGGTCTAACGGATGGCGTAGTGGTTTAAGCGGTCGCCACGCCGTTCCCTACTACGCCGAGTGTTGTGGGTTCAAACCCCACATGGGACGACACTTTGTGTGATCCACAAATTGTTGTTCTGAGTCTGGGTGTTCTTTGTGTCCGTTTCATGTATGTTTGTAAAGTCCCCCGCGACACAGGATTTATTCCTAATGCGGGTGTTGTCTTTTAAAAAAAAAAAAAAAAAAACTCTTAAATGCTTGATACCAAACAGGCGACTTGACTCTGAGAACATATGTATGTTCTAAAGAAAGGTCCTGAAATGTATAGAGAAAAAACTAGTGAATTAGAGTAATGGTTATTAGCTAAATTAGCTCATAACCATTACTCTAATTTACTAGTTTATGAGCTAATTAAGCTCATAAACATTACTCTAATTCACTACTGTAATATAATCGATAAACTAAACAATTTATTATAGTCTTCATCCTCTCAACTAATGTGGCCATAAATTTCAATATCGCTTAAAAGAATTTCTACTCAGGCGTAGGTCGGTCTATTCTCAGATGTGCAATCGATAATCTTTAAATATCCTTTTGAGAAACGAAACGTACAATACTTTTTAATTATTTTGATTATTACCATCAACCTACGTGTACTCGTAGCTCAGAAAAGTAACAAAAGCAAGGGTTGTGTTTCTTCCACAGAAATTATCCGACGCATTTGGAACCTGCTTACAATCAATAATAAATCATCAAAACTATTCGTTGTTATCTACGCAAGTGGTTTCCGTCACTTATCGTCGTTATCTAATTTATAAATCTAAAATTTTAAGTTGGTTGGTTTCCACTTCAAAAACTCAAAAAGTTCTGCACCGATTGAGTTCAAATTTTTACACGATGCACAGTACACTCCAAAGATCGTTTTAAAAATTTATAAGAAAATTATAGTTTGTTAAACAGACTGCTTAAGAGTATTAAGTCTTTTAATGTTAAATTGCAATTTAATTTGCTATCAGTACTAACAAAAATCAGTTTAATTTTGCTTGTGATTTGAAGATTGGAGGCCCGCTTATATAGTAGGTAGTTACATATTTTACATTCTTTAAATGAGTAACGTTTTATTCCTTCTAAGTGTTTCATAAAGAAATATTTTTTATTATAAAAATAAGACCTATTGCCAAGCCCAAATTATGTGAATGTCAAGTAATATATATTTTATATTAAATATACTTTATATTTCGTTGCTTAAGGTAAGCTGATTAATTCGTGTTTTCGTTAAAAACATTGGAAGCCGATCAACGATTCGAGAATTCTGATAGCGTTAAATCGTTGCCGTAAAATGTAAATTTTACCAGGTTTTATTAGGGTTAGCAAACTGTTTCGTACTTTCTACATCTCGTAAAGAGCAAAACCGTTTACTTTTTTATTATTTAACCCTTTAGTGAAATATGTAATATACCTTTTTTGCTTTCTTGTAAAATGTATTCTATTTCACCTTATCGTATAAATTTAAAAAACAAAGACATTTTATAGTTATTTTTGATCGAGTGGCTTTTGAGAATTTGATCATTATACAATTGAGGTAAGGCTAACTAAAATTGAATTTTAGTAGACATGTAAAAAAAAACTGAATTGAATATGTGTTAAGAAAATAAATAAAATGAATACTTAGTTACAATATATTTTTTACCTTTGAATCAATTTAAATTAAAAGCTGGTCTTACCTGTAACTTTCCTTTCTTGTAACACATTATTAACCAAATATCTGTGTTATGTGGTAAGTCTTCATTGCTCCGTGATTTTTTTAAAAGATGACTACCAAAAACATTTGTTTATAACCATCTAAATTTTACCGTAAAGAGGAGGCTCCCGTCGATAGGGTGACGTAACTTGACAACATGGTACCAAGTTAAGAATAAAATTCAAATATAGCTTGTAATTAGATTCTTAATCTTAAATTAGTAATGAACAAAAAGAAAGTGATATTCAATCCTGAAATCAATCGTTCTTTATCGTTATGAAGTAAGTTTATAGGCATGCAAAACATTTAATTTGAACTGCACGGATGGCGGAGTGGTTTGAGCGGTCGCCAGCGCCGCTTCCACGTGCGCTGAGTGTTGTGTTATACACAAATTCTTGTTCTGAGTCTGGGTGCTCGTTGTTTCCGTTTCATGCATCAAAGTTCCCCGCCATACAGTAAATATTATTCCTAATGCAAAGCTGTGTTTTTTAAAGAAAGGAAAAAATAAGATATTTTAAAATAATATATTTTTGTAACTTGATCCTTTAAGAGTATCCCATAAGTTATAATAAAGCCTAAATATATTCGTAATGTGCTTCGTTTGTAATGCTCTGACTTTTATAGAGTTTGTTAGATTATTTAAGTTCCATTGTGCTAATGCATAAAACAAAGACGAGTTTCCCCTTCGTAGGCGGTTCGCAAATAGGCACTTACCTGTTGAACGGTCGCATTTCACGAGCCAATTTATTTTCATAAGAAAGACATCAAGACCTAAAATGAATTTTCTGAATGTGGTGAAATAACTAACTGGTTTTTAATGTTAAAGTTACGTTAAAGTTAAAAGTTATACAACTAATATATCTAGCGTTTTAACAAAGTTAGAAATTTCATCATTTCAGTAAAAATATTATCACTTACCTTCAGTCGTACAGGCTCCACAGCATAACGAATAATTTAATTTTACAGCGACGTAATATATTTTAATTTAAGTCAGAATCTTTTACAAATATCTATAGTAAGTAGTAGTCAACAGGTAACACAGATGCGAGTATTCAACAACAGTTCTAAATATCTCAAAAGTTACAACAAGTTAAACGCATGTAGGCAACATGTAGGAGGAATTGTCCGTAACAATAGTAACACTGATGGGAAGACCAAACCAAGCGTACGTGGGACATGATATAACAAGGCAGAAAGGAAGCGAAGAGTAGGCATCACAGGTGGTTCAAACTAAATATTATTGAAATATATTAAATTAAAGAATATATTAAATTAGAGAAATAAATGAAAGGTAGAAAAAAACACGACACCGGAATGAAGACTATACACGCGCGACGTGACTCGAGCGAGTTCAGATATGGTGTGAAAACTCTAAAGATTCAACAAGTGGTTTGTAAAGGCGGGCGGTGCGGGCCGAGCTCGCAGTACCTCGCGGCGGGAAAGCTCGCCCGCCAGTGCCCCGAGCTTCGGCACCCGCTGCTTCGGAGTGACGCGCGTGTGTGCGTCCCCGGCCCCTTGCGCTACAGCCTTCATTGTTAACTCTGTTAGTGTGTGCGTGAAGGCCTTATGTATACGCGTCTGCGCGTCGTTGTTTGTAAGTGTGTGCATTATGACGCGCCTACGGGTCTGGCGCACAGGTGAGCCCGGGCCGACCTCCAGCCAGCTCGTCCCTGTCCTATCTATACCGCTTTTACAATGAAATGCCTCGGTGAACACAAACTACCTGCGTGCTACATTAGCGGACGCATGTAGCTCCCTGAGCGCGGAGGAGACCGCTTTTGTTCACAACATTGCACCTATTTATGAAACGTGTTCGTAATATATATTTATGTTAGAATTTGTTGGACTGAAAAGGTTGGAATTTCTCGCACTTATAGAGTAGCTTAACGAAACTTTCACATGCCATACCAGGTTTTATACAGTACATATTTGTTCAGTGTGCCTCTCGCATGAATATTTCAAATAGTTCACATTGGATTGTACTCGCACAAAATAATTTTATATTAATTTACATTGTTTAATTAAAAAGGCAGAGTTAATTACGTTGTTATACATATGCGTCGGACGAAATGTTGTTGTTGCACTGTAAAATGTTGATTTGAAATAAATTCAACTGTTTATAAAATACATAGTTTTAACTAATCTGTCAAAAACGTTTAGGCATTAAATTACTTGTCAGTCTACGTCCAGAACATGACGTTTTAATTTGAATTTCTTTCGTAACCTAAGACTGATTAAAGTCTGCCTCGATTGATTAAAAGTATGTTTAATAGTAGTTTGTAAACGGTTTACGTACCATTGGAGGGTCATATTTGGATATGACCCTCCAATGGTACGTAAACCGTTTGCTCGACCAGGATAATATCTCGGCCCTGCAGAAAACCAGTGTTAAGCAAAATCTTCCACTGCATTTCACTGAGTGATTGGGGGCAGCATCGCACTCGGGTCTCTTGAGTTGCGGTTCGGTAAAGAAGCACATTTTCAGAAAACCTTTCACTAATACCCATAAATATTTATTAACTTCGAGATCTGTCTATAGAAATAGATGACTACTAAGATAGGTGCTTAAAAAACAGTGCAGTTTCTTTAAGTGCCCGATAGTAGGGGATGGCCAGAGCAAGGAAGAGTGCCAAATGCAAAACAATACTATTACCAGCTTGAAATAAAATGTTGATAACTCCATCCGAGAGTCACTGGGATGCGACTTCAATCTTTAATTGCAATATAATTATTTAAGTAAATATTTTATTACTTAATTACTAACTGAAATGCACACTATATCAGTGGGAACTTTCAATGGTCATAGAACAGTAATAAAATATATTACCTATTTAATTTAAAATAAATCCGATTTAGGGGTTAATTTACTTTACAATAAAATTGAGTTTTCGGTAAATATTATAATTGGTACATATTATTTATTTGTCCTAAAACAGTACATTGTTTAACATTACAAGTAGGTACAATATTTATTTACGTACATACTCGTAGGTATGATAAGTGAAAAAAATGTCAGCGCTCTCAATAAAGATGAATATGTGGATATTCATCTTTATTGAGAGCGCTGACATTTCTCACAAAATCCTAAGTGCCGTGTCGTATTAACATATTAATTTCTACGATATTTTAAGTTAGTTTTTTGTATCGTTGGTTCATTTTTTAAATTTAGTATTAATTTATGACCCTTAGTTTTTAAACAATGTAATTTTATTAAACTTTTTAAATGCATAATTAAAGGCATCGTCTTTCTTTAAAAATAATTTACAATAATATAAATAATTTGAACCGACTTCAAACAATACTAGCAAAGTTCACTAAAAAACCTAGCAGCAATCGCAGTTGACGTGTGGTGACGGATTAAGAATGCAGAGTGTCACCACCCCTATTCATCCCGTGGGTGTCGTAAAAGGCGACTAAGGGAAACTACGCAGGACAACAGCACTGCAAAGAGTTGATTTGCTGTCATTTTTTGAGAGTCTGTTTCCGAAACGCATCATCAGATCAGATTTATAAGATCTTTAAATGGGACCATTTCGGAATAAAGCCTTTTCGAACAAAATAAGAATTGTGAAAATCCGTCTAAATAAATAATGGAGCTTTGCCCGAACACACATAAAAAAATATATATAAACAGCCGAACATCTTTTTGAAGTCGGTTAAAAATAACACATATGCTTGATAAATTATACTCGTACCTATTTTCTTATTCCACGAATTAGTTAGTTCGAATTGGACATAACTTCTACTGTGGTATAAACTTGTTTTTTTAAGATGCAGAAAATACGAGTATAATACTCGTATAACAAAGTTACAAAAACAAACTTTGTTTATTATACAATAAATAGGTAAACGTTTAACTCAGTGCACTGTCATTGCACTCTTAACTACTATTGAATATGGTGAAATTTGTTATATTCTATCTTATACTACCTCTTAAACTTTTATATTCCATATTATTTAATTATTATTAACGAACGGGAATTAAGGTGATTAATATAGTTAGTTATATTCTAGAAATGTATAGTAAATTATGTATTGTAACGGTTTTTTATCGACATTAGTAAGATATAAGTCTTTCATATGACCAAAAAATATAATTGACAGGAAATACAGACGCACAAAATATGACGCTGAAGCTAATACTATTTGAAAAACGAGGGCTATAAATAGATGAATATCCAGGTTCAAAAAACATGGCTATTCAATTTCAATAAATAAAAAACACCTAAATCATTGTAACCGTAACAGCATCTGTTTAGATAAAATAAATACTCATTTTATGAAATCAAAGTCATGTTTATATTTTTTTTTTTCAACAAATCGCATTATACAACTTAGTTCCAAATAATAACACACCGCTAATTTTTCACAGTCACCGACGCTGATTGGACCTGCCGTATTATTTTTTTACTTGTCTGATTCTTTAAATTTTTTAAGACTTCAACTTTCTTTAATACTAAATAATCTAATTTCATCACAGACAATACATTTACTAAGTTAAGCCTACACTTTTAGACTATGGAGCATAAAGTTGTGTAAAACCGTGTACAACTTTGTCGTCGTAGCAAAAATGATGATCAAACGTCAGTTATATATTTGTGCCATCCAATCAGCGTCGGTGACTGTGAAAAATTAGCGGTGTGTTATTATTTGGAACTAAGTTGTATAATGCGATTTGTTGAAAAAAAAAAATATAAACATGACTTTGATTTCATAAAATGAGTATTTATTTTATCTAAACAGATGCTGTTACGGTTACAATGATTTAGGTGTTTTTTATTTATTGAAATTGAATAGCCATGTTTTTTGAACCTGGATATTCATCTATTTATAGCTTATTTTGTGCGTCTGTATTTCCTGTCAAATATATTTTTTGGTCATATGAAAGACTTATATCTTACTAATGTCGATAAAAACCGTTACAATACATAATTTACTATACATTTCTAGAATATAACTAACTATATTAATCACCTTAATTCCCGTTCTTTAATAATAATAAAATAATATGGAATATGAAAGTTTAAGAGGTAGTATAAGATAGAATATAACAAATTTCACAATATTCAATAGTAGTTAAGAGTGCAATGACAGTGCACTGAGTTAAACGTTTACCTATTTATTGTATAATAAACAAAGTTTGTTTTTGTAACTTTGTTATACGAGTATTATACTCGTATTTTCTGCATCATAAAAAAACAAGTTTATACCACAGTAAAAGTTATGTCCAATTCGAACTAACTAATTCGTGGAATAAGAAAATAGGTACGAGTATAATTTATCATGCATATGTGTAATTTTTAACCGACTTCAAAAAGATGTTCGGCTGTTTATATTTTTTTTTTATGTGTGTTCGGGCAAAGCTCCATTATTTATTTAGGATTTTCAAAATTCTTTTTGTGTTCGAAAGGGGTTTATTCCGAAATGGTCCCATTTAAATTTCATATAGATCTGATGATGCGTTTCGGAGACAGACAACGGAACTCTTAAAAATATGACAGCAAATCAACTGCGATTGCTGCTAGGTTTTTTAGTGAACTTTGCTAGTATTGTTTGAAGTCGGTTCAACTTATTTATATTATTGTAAATTATTTTTAAAGAAAGACGATGCATTTAAGTATGCATTTAAATAGTTTAATAAAATTACATTGTTTAAAAACTAAGGGTCATAAATTAATACTAAATTTAAAAAAATGAACCGACGATACAAAAAACTAACTTAATATCGTAGAAATTAATATGTTAATACGACACGGCACCCGCCCGGTGAATCCATGGAACGCTAAGAAAAAGATCTCTTTAAATTTACTTTTGTCTTTATAAATATCCTTAAATCTAGGTTACCAAATCCTTTCAAATAAAATCTTTCATTTACTACGAACCACGAGAACATTTTAATGCTAACATACTTTACATTTAGTGAAGCTGAAGTGGTGTAGCTTTTAAATCCAATGTTATTGGCTTGAAACGGTTAAGATCGTATAGTGGTGGAGGAAAAGCGGCTTTACTTCAACCTGTTGATCATAGTCTTTAGTGCTCGTATTTATAAGTTATATTACTTTCTAGTAGAAGTGAATTTCAAGCATATTTTTTATGAAAGAGGGTGCAAACGAGCAGACGGGTCACCTGATGGAAACCTGACCACCGACGCCCATAATCGCTTGCAGCTCTGGAGTTATAAGCGCGTTATCGGCCTTTGAGAAAGGCATGTTACTGTAAAAATGATAAAATTATTTTGACGATTTTGTGCGTTTTTTTTTAGGATTCTTGGGTAAGCTTATGTTCATAATTGGAACTGATAGGCAAGTTCTAATTTCTGTTCCTTTTTTAGCCAAAATTTTTATTTATATGTTTTTGAGTGGGTTCGTAGATGTTAGAATTTAAAATATATACGGCTTTCATTCTTCAGGCTTTCTTCTATATCAATTAATAAAAGTTTGTAAAAAACTACAAAAAGAGTTGGTCATCTATACAATTATGACCACGCATACCGTTGTTAAACCTCGATGATTGATTACAAACTTTAAATATAGACTGTATTTTTTATGATTGAATTTCAAATGTGTAGTTGCAGATTTTTCCCTATACTTGTAGTATAAAACCAAGTT